AGCAAAAAATATATTGTAAGACGTTAATATAACTATAAGTTATTACTTATAAAGTAAAGATTCTAAAAAAATAGTTGGAATTATAATATAATAAGTAGATTTATAAATATAACATTTAATATATGACTGATTTATTTTACTTTTGGCTATTAAAAACTGAAATTATTTTTTATTTCTGAAAATATGCTATTTAATCCAAAATATCTTATTGCAGCATGACTGCAATATTTTTGCGGAAACACTATATTTTTTTATAGAATATTACCGTTTGTCATTTTGCAACAATTTTGAATGTATCAACGTGCCCCATATATCAATCAGCCCCGGTCACCCCTACAATTTTAATAGAACATTGAAAAATTGAACTTTTAAATATTAATTTAAAAATAAGTTTTTTCTTTTATAAATTAGATGAAACTATTAAACGTTTTGTTGAGATCGGCTCCCTTGCTGGTCTTTGTCGAGTTGTATTGAAGGAGACATGTCATTTGATGTTTTCAATGCGACACGAGATTTTCCGATTCAAAAAGCAATCAGCCAAGACCAAAGGCAGTAGAGGATTGGACGAGCGTCGCTGCGTACGTGACGCGATTTCCCTCCGCGCGAGGCCAAGATGATTTTTCCCTCACTCGCTCCCCTCCGGGGACGGCCGTCGCTCTTTGACAGAGACGAAGCTCGAGATATGACGAATCGCGCCAGCGAAGGAAAAAAATGGTAGAAAACATTAAGGCGCGTGGCAGACGACAAATCGTCGCGCAGATGCGAAGCGATATATGACGGTATACCGTTGCGCGCGAAGTCTTTCTTTTTCTTTTCTTTTTTTCTCTTCCTCTTTGGGCCGACCAATTCAACCCCCCCCCCTCTATCACTCTCTCCTCTTTCTTCCTCTCTCTCTTTATCTCGGCAAATAAGAGTGAACGAACGAGCCGATATTTATCATGAGGTACCTATTATCGTGTGGGAAAGAGCGATTTTACTGCTGATTTGTCTCGATTCATAGCGAGACGATCTACGGAACGTATAATAAATGTTATGCTTATCTACATATATCCGTGTGCATGGATGTAACATTGATACTTTCACGAAGCGAGTTACTAATCCGGAAAATAACTTGAAAAATAAAAAATAAAGAAACATTGAATTGATTTTATTTATAAATGTATATTCATTTATAAAATGATCGTAATCAAACACAGTTTTCCTTTTTTCTTGTTATACTTTTTTCCTTCTGTAATTTTTTTCTATAAATTCTTTATTAAATTTAACGTTAAAAGTACATTGAAAAATGTAATGTGTGTAAAATTGAAAAGTGGATATAAAATCGCGTCTCTTTCTAAAGTCTCGTCATGATTTTATATTATAATCTCATTTATCATTTATTCTTATTTATTGTAAATATAAAAATTCTATTTTAATTGTAAAACAATTTGTGCTAAATATAATAATGCAGTATACTTACAAATAACATGATACATATAATAAGCTCGATAATATGTATGTTACTTATCATCTTTTCGGTTATTAATACATTTGCAAAAAATATAATTCTTTTATAATTATAGAGTTCTGAAGTCTCTTGAATTGTTACATATTCAAGATTATAAATTAAATCAGTATGTTATGTATTTTTATGTAATAATATTAAATTAATCAAATTATAGAATAGGCCAAACTAACGAGCATTAAGAGGATGCTAAAGCCGTCTGTTTTATCGACAAAAATACCATTTTTGTTGGATACAAAATACTTCATATTAATCGCATAGAATAAAATTTCCTTTTCTATATTAAACACACATTAAAACACACATGCTAATGCATCTGGCT